CTGGAGCTTGGGGGTTGGGGGCTGGGGGAGAGGGGTGGCTCCTTGGGTTCCTGCAAGCAGGCTTGATTTCCCCCCCAACCCAACAGGCAAATGTCTTTATGTAGCCATGAGTTAGAGCAGGGGGCCTGAACATTTGTCAGTGCCTTTTAGGCTATGCCTGAGGTCTATGTATTACATCACATGAACAAGTGGGTCAAAGTCCTACCTCAACTTTAATGGATATACAGAAAGGGCAGATTTTTTTCCCCCCCTAGTTATTTGTACTTTGGGGTAGCTGAGAAACTGGAAAATTGTGGCCTAAAGCTTTCCATGGGCACAGGGCCGAAGGGATAGAGCAACTTCTAAATGGCTGGGGGCCACATACTGTGGAGGCCCCCTGGTCTCATTCTCAGCTCCTAGGCTGTGGGCTCTTCTGGCCTTGGGGCCTGTGCTGCACTTTACTCTCCTGTCCCTTGGGGCGGGGTGGGAAGGCAAGCTCAGAATCCTCAGCTCCTGCTGCAGCCTGAGTAATGTGGGGGGTGATGGCCAAATGGGAGCTTGGGGGTTGGAACAACCCCTGCATGCTGCCAGCTGCATGGCCCTGGGGTAGAAAAAACAGACCTCCCTTCACCAGCAGCCTGGAGGAGTATTTTCCCTTTTGTGAGACTCCTGGAACTAGAGATTGATTCATAAAATGAAGCCCTTATGTAGCGGGGAGAGAATACCTGGAAGTCCACTGCATTCCCACTTCTCAGCAGATTCCTGGGGGAAGGGAGTGTTCTCATTCTTTACCATCCAAGACTGTGATTGATGTCACAGATTTTTTTCCCCCTCAGTGGAATGCAATGTTTCACTCTAGCCCTTGCGACAAATGAGTGTTGTGTTGTTCCTGAACTATTAGTAGAAGAGCTGCTCATGTGTCTTTTGAATGACTAGTGAAAAGCGAATGGTATGCCTGGAATGACTGCTGTAAGTTTGTCCTGAAACACAACCAGCCATGTAATCCTACCTCCCAGAAAGGCCTGTTCCACAGCTCATCCAGCCTCACTCCACACTGTTGTCCTTTGCATTTATACTTTGATCTCCGAGGATGCATCTGGGCATGAAAAGTTAATTGCTTTCTGGCAACAGTTGGAGTCCTGCCTTTGGTTCTCAGCTGATGATTGTATCACTGGTCATCCGGATGTAATCGAATCTGCCTGGCTTTTCCAAAGCTAAGTTGACACTGGACTGCCAGACAGAAATGTTATAACCCTTGAATTAGTCATAAGTAACAGACCAGAAAGAACCCAGGTTCTTTCCCCGAGTCTTGAGTGCAGTTTGCAGTACTGGGTTCTAGCGCAGTTGAAATCTTTCCGATTCTGGAATGATGGAGGGAAAATATAAAAATCTGTCATATATAGTAGACACCAGTCTATTGTTGTATTTCAAATACCTGAGTGGGTGGTGGGGGGAGAGGTGTTTGTGGTGTAATGCAGTGTGGTATCATTTCTTTCCCTTCCTTCTCTGCCCCTATCCCCCCGCTTCTTGTGTTGGATGAAAAGTGTGTATACGATGAGTTCTGTAATATTTTGATTTGATCAGAGAGGTACTTAGTGGCATTGAGACCAAGTCAGACAGAAAGCAGAGTAGAGATGCACCTTAAAGACTAAATGAGTCAGAGATGCATAAACTTTCATGAGCAAGTTTTATCAGATATTGTGAAAGAAAGTTCATAACACACCTTGGACACATGATGAATGATCTCTAACCTCTCCTGGAAAATAACAAATGTCTCAAGATTGCCATAGGGACAATCACCATGTGAAAGGAGACATCAATCTGCCATCAAGTCCAAAAACACACAGAAGCCTGTGGAGAACTCTTCAACCTTTCATCACTGACCACAGATTAGCTGTTCTTTAACAGTGAAGCTTTAAAAGCCAATTTAAATGGGAAGTTGTCGAATAGGAGATCCTCTACAGACTGGATTCTATTAAGTATGGTCTAAACAGGGACTATGGATTCTTATCCCATTTTCTAAATTAGTTCTTTTGGCCCCTTTGTCCCTATGGGTTTATTACTTGTTTGCCTTCTCAGCACTGCCCCCACCCCCGTTTTCTCTACCTCTTTCTCTTCCATGCTCTTTTGTACTCAGGTCACAGGGGTACATCTTCAAGTGGGCTAAGTATTATGTCCTCTCTTGATCATGAAAGATTGTGGATCTCTGAGTTATTTTAACTTGCTGTTCCGCTTCCCTTGGTGTGGGTACTCTTGCCCTTCCTACGCAGCTTTGCTTCCTAGCATCATAGGTGTTACTGCTGCTGTTTTAACAGACCCAAAAAAGGAGATCTGCTTGCATGAGAGGCCAGCACCCTGTAGCTGTGCAGTGCCTTACTCCTTGTAGCATGGAAATGCATTATTTTCTCCAGAGCCCTCTGCATATGGGATGGAGGATCCTTTGTGAGGAAACATTTTTCAGGGGAACTTCTCCAAATGGACTAAGTATTATGTCCTCTAGTGTCCTCGTGGTAACTGAAGTTGGAAAAATCCAAATGACTCATCTACTGTAGTTTGTCCAGAGCATAATAAGTAATGTGGCCAAGTGGACATTCATCCTAAATTTCAGTGTCTCACATGATGGAGCTGCCATCACTTTCCCTGAAAGGCTAAGCCACAGTCTGAGAGGTATCCTTACCAGAAAATAGTTCCTGACACTTTTCCCCATTACTATGAGTTACAGCCCAAGAACGGAGGTAGTGTTTTGGGTTTTTTTGTGGCACAATTCATAATACCCTTTCTCCAAAAACAGTGTGTAACCATATCACATGCACATACTGCAGTAAAGTAGTCCCTTTCCCCTTCTTGCTTTGCACTAAGCTTATCTAGTCCTCTGAGTTATGTTAAGTGGCCAGTGCCTGCCTGTTCCCTGTTCCCCTTGCTGCTTTTACTCCTTGGATTTCAATTCCAAACATGGTTATCCTTTTGGGGTCTCTCTTCTACCCGTTGCCAAGTGATACACATTCCAAATTCAATACAAGCTCCCCGTACTTCCCCCCTGCCCTCCCTCTCTCCCTCCCTCCCTGCGGCTCTCTGTGTGTCTATTTTCACTTCTGGAGGACTGGCGAGAGAGTGCAACAGGATCCGTTCCCAGTCCCCTTCTCTGAGTTCTCTACCTAAAGGCCTTTGCTTTCTTTTTGACTGAGCTGTTCAGACTTGTCTTTGCCTACTGTCTTCTCCAGCCTCGACTAGTGGGTGAGGCCAGTGAACCAATTCCTGCACCCAGCAGCAGCAGAAGGAAAAGGTAGCTGTATCTCCAGGAGCAAAGAAAGCCACTGAAAGTTATTTGGAAATGGTGCTCTGAGGCACTGTGCGGAGGGTCTGAAGAACTCCCAGGAGACTTAGGGCTGCCCTGCAGCTCTGGTTTCAGCTGGCTGTGTATGATTTTTGTATGACAATATATTTCTAAACCAGGATGGCTGGGGCAGGTAGAGACTGGGAAAGGATGAGTAGAAACAGCACTTTTTGGGACCAGATCTTCTCTCAGCCTCTTTCATGCGAGGTCTGGAAGCAGAACATGGAGGAAGCAGCCTATCATCTAGCTGGCTGCATCCTTCTGCTGGGTTACATGGGGGGAAGTGGGATCTTTGGATCCATCTATATCTTTAGCTTACTGGCCATTGGCTACTTCTGCTATGCTCTTTGGGGCTGGCTGGATGCCTGTGGGCTGGATATCTTCATCTGGAACATGCTGCTGGTCATGGCCTGCTTGCTTCAGCTGGCTCACCTGACTTACCTGCTCCGTAAGGACACCTTTCTGGAAGAATTTGATCTTCTTTACAAGACCATCTACCAGCCTCTCCAGGTGCCCCTCCAGGTCTACAAAGAGATTGTGAAATGCTGTGAAGAACAGGTCCTTTCACTGACCAGAGACCAGAGCTATGCCCTAGAAGGCAAGACACCCATCAACCGCCTGTCTCTACTTCTCTCTGGCAGGTAGGCTGTACCTTATCCTGACTTTACCTTTCTGAACCCTGGAATACTGATTGGGAGGGAGGCAGTCTGGACTACTGGATAGGGCACTGGACCAATTCTCAGGAGACTGTTTCTAGCTTGGCTACTGCTGGCAGCAGACTTTGGGGTGAGTTACTTCACCTCTCTGTGCCTCATTTTCCCCGTCTGTAAATAGGGGGTACCTCCTTTGTCAACTGCTCCAAGATCTGCTCACGAAAAGTGCTACATCAGAGCTAGGTGATGTTTATTAGTAGTATTTTAGGGAGGGTTTGTAGAACCATGCGGTATATCATGAATCAGTTTACTCAGCCTCACAGGGAATGGGTAGGTTGTTTTTCATTTAATTTGTTTTCTGCTATATTAGAGAGATGGTAGTGCTGGTGGGAGATGATGGCAAACAGCTTGGGAATGTCTAGAGGCTTCTATCAATAAAATAGGTGAATGTTGACTTCCCACCACCTTCCCGGTATGCAAGGAGCAACCTGTACAGGTGGGAGGGAAGTCACACTGAGCTTATGGTAGTACTGGGTAGAAATTGGATTGTCAATCCCCATGATGCAGATGCCTGTCTCTAAAAAATGATGTGGGATTTAACAGTCCATATCATATAGTAGGTCAAAAGAACAAGGCTCATTCCCAACTCACAATGACAGAGCCAGTGGCTTGCAACTTCTTCATTCTGCATGGTATTTGGTAACAGGGAGATCCTTTGGATCCTGCCTTACCTGGCAGCTCTCCTTCCCCTTGACCCACCAATGCTGCTTCATGCCTTGGACTACCAAGCAGGGCCATTGTGGACCACTGAATATCCATAGGCCATAGTTTGGGAATCCATCCCCATAGCTGTTCATTGCCCTCACACACCTGGGCTTGTGGTTACTTGCACTAGTGCAGTGACTGTGAAAGACTCTGAAGTTAACCTTTCATGGACATCATGGCTCAAAGGAATGTGCTAGTACTGCAGTGACTGAAGGAATCTCTGATGTTAGCATACTAGCTAGCATGTGTAGTTTTTATCTGGAAAATTTGAAGTGTAGCAAAGTAAATGAGGCACTAAGATATTTCATGGTCCCAACCCAACTACATGTAAGATCCAGTCAATTGGAGAGAAAGGAGAGAGACCAGAAATGGAAGCCACTTTGCACTCAAATAGCTTGCCAGGATCCCTTGAGTGCCAGGAATGATGGACCAGGCAAATCCAAACAAGGTGGCAAGTTGTTCAAGGTGGAGGAAGGGAGGTAAGAACATTGCCTGGCATTCCAGCTGTCTGCAGCTCCTTGAACATTTCTTTGGGGCTGCTGTTCTTGCATTGCTCCTTGGGCAAGGATATCAGGCCTTCTGAAAGTTTAAGATCTGCTTGAGTGCTAGTTTATCACCTTAGACCAGGGTGTCAAATTGATTTAGCTCTGTGGGATGGATCCACATTGTAGGGCTTCTTGGAAACTGGCTGGACAACCCTCAATTGTCAGCAGTGGTGTCAACATGGCTGTGACCCTGCTGTGTTAACATGGCTCCAGAACACAGGGGGTTAGTCCTACTGCCATTCACCTTCCTCACTTTCTCCCTGCTGCTGACTTTAGTCATCAACAACAACTAAAAACCCTGTTTTTTAATGGTGGGTAGGAGGCAGGGTGAGTGGTGGCAGTGCTAAATCTCTGGGAACTGGAGCCACACCAGTGCAGCTCAGACCATCACAGCAACAAGCTCCATGAGCCATATCTAGACCCTGGAGGTGGGCTGGATGACCCAGCCCCATGTTTGATACCCCTGCCCTAGGCTCATGTACAATTAATAGCTCTTAGCCTGATTTCTCCCCACCCTGGGACCATGGGTGTGGTGGATGAATTATTGTTTTTCCTTCATCACCTTCCTCTGTCACATAGCATGTATTGAAGGGGACTAGAGACAACAGATAACAAATAATAATACAAATAAATTCTGTATACTCCAATGGCACCTTACATCTGGAGGGTGCCATTGGCTAGTGGGGTGTTCATAGCGCTGACACAGCTCTCTGCATTATTCAATTCCTTGAAAACATAACCAATCTTCACTACATTTTCTCACTGGAAAATATTTGTGTATTACTCTTGTTTTCTAGCTGGGGAAGCTGAGACAGAGGGGGAAAGCCTATGATGGCCTAGGAAGTCAGTGGTTGAACCATTGCTAGAATCCAGGAGCCCTAATTCCTAAGCCTTTGTTCAGGCCTGTCCCATGTATTTTAGGATTATACAGAGTATATGGGGACCTAGTAGAAAACATGTTCTATCGGAATAAAACCTGCTTGAGGTCCAAATGCTCCACCATTCCCTGGTTGCCCATTGCGAAAGGGAGCAAACCTACTGAGAAAATCCAATGGGAGATATCAGCAAAGTGAGTTACTGCCAAAAACCATTGACAAGTGCAAAGTCCTGCACTTAGAACAATCCCATGCACCAGTACAGGCTGGGGGATGACTGGCTAGACAGCAGCTCTTCAGAAAAGGACCTGGGGATCACAGTGGACAATAAGCTGAACATGAGCCAGCAGTGTGCCCTTGTTGCCAAGAAGGCTAAAGGCATACTGGGTTGCATTGGTAGGTGGGTTGCCAGCAGGTCATTGGAAGTGATTATTTCCCTCGATTCAGCACTGGTGAGGCCACATCTGGAGTGCTGTGTTCAGTTTTGGGCCCCCCACTACAGAAAGGATGTCGACAAATTGGAAAGAGTCCAGCAGAGGACAACGAAAATGGTGAGGGGACTGAGGGATGTGACTTCTGAGGAGAGGCTGAGGAAACTGGGCTTATTTAGTCTAGAGAAGAGAAAACTGAGAGGGCGTTTAATAGCAGCCTTCAGCTACCTGAAGGGAGGTTCAAAAGAGGATGGAGCTAGACTATTCTTAGTGACGGCCGATGAGAGAACAAGGAACAGTGGTCTCAAGTTGCAGCAGAGGAAGTTAAGGTTAGATATTAGGAAGAATTTTCACACTAGGAGGGTGGTGAAGCTTTGGAACAGGTCACCCGGAGAGGTTGTGGACTCTCCATCCTTGGAGGTTTTTAAGACCCAGCTAGACAAAGCTTTGGCTGGGATGATCTAGTTGGGGATGGTCCTGCCTTGAGTTAGGGGGTTGGACTAGATGACTTCCTGAGACCCTTTCCAATCCTCATTTTCTATGATTCTCTGATTTTTCCCCACATTCTTTCCAGACATAAGGGCTACCAGACAGCCTACAATGGGAGCCTCAGCTTTGCTGGGGTAACAACTGGTTTGGGACTGGGATCCCAGGTTCTACTGCTGGCCCTCCCAGCCCCACACCTTGCTGTGGCCCTGTATGCTGTGATTATGGGTGGATGCAGTGGAGCATTTCCCTGCTCCTTTTACATGGTGTTGTACTTGAGGGGAGTCTGAGGGCCTTGGCATTTTTTATAGGCTATTTCAGGGTTTCATACGAGCAATAGCCTA